CACTAAATCAATTGGGGCAATTACCTCCTACAGTTGAACGTCGAGGTTGGGTAAAAAATGTGGGGCATAGTGATAGCTTAACCGACCTGAGCAAAAAGGGTCGGTAGAGCTACCAACCTTTTTCGGCTAGGGTTGGTAGAGCTATGGTTGAACACTCCAAACGATGTAAATTCCATGAATTCCTTTTTGAATAACCATACAGCGATCAAGAGCATCCTGCTTCAAGACCCACACTCCTACCCCACACGCCCCTACCTTCACCCCCCCCCCTTTAATCTCCCGCATGTGCGACCTCTACCGCTCCAACTGATAGCATAAAGTCATGTTATATGTGGTTAATGTATCAATTTCCAGAAAATATGTCATTTTTATTATTGCTGTTTAGTTCGGCATAAAAATGTGGTTCAAATGCCGCCGCGTTGTGGTAAAAAGCAAGGAGAGAAAGCGAAATTACGAAGAGACTGATGTCGAAGAAGCGGTAGCAATAAAGCCAGCGTCTGATCTTGCAACCAACCGTGGGCATGTCTCGCTTTCGCTATCCAAGGAGTCTCGCGAGTCTCCAAGGCAGGCCTCTTATCTCGCTGATGGCCCATGCTATGTTCCGGAGTATCACTATCAAGGACATCCTTCATGGGATCTACGTGTAAACGGTGCGGTCAGTGAAACTACTGGTAAGTCTATTTGAAAAAGAGGAAAAAATGAATGGCGCTTCATCTTTATCGTTTATTCCTTCTAGATTCGCCCATTCCGTTCAAAGTCGTGAAAGGAGACTGTAGCCGAATTTGTTCCGCGTCGGAACCACGTCCTCCTGTAGTGGATGTTCCCTTATCTCCTAAACCACGACCACCTGGAATGATTGAGCGTCCTCCTGTAGTAGACGTTCCCTTATCTCCTAGAACACCACCACCTGGAATGCTTGAGCAGTCACCTTCTCCTAGAGATCCCCAAACCACTCCTCCGTTTAAAACGTGCTCTCCTACAGTGGACGTTCCTTCACCCAATACACCACCTATTCAGTGCAGTCCTCGCAGGGATCCACCAAGCAATTTCCGTGAAGTAGTGAGATGTCCTGCAGGATGTCGGGTTGAACAATCCCCTGCATCTCCTGTGGAATCTCCCGAGGAGGAAACGGCGGGTAAGAAAGTTTGTGAGCGAGTTACTACAAGGTCAGCTCCAGTCACTATTTTTAGACCTCCCGGATCACCGCATGATCGCTTAGAGGAGGTTGCGTCCAAGTTAATCCTAAAGTAGTGCATGAGTCAATGGTCCTTGTTTCGCACCAAACAGTATCTGCTGGTGTGCCAGGTCATGAAGGGGGATGTTTCATTGTGGAGCAACCAGGTGAGAAATTTCTCCCGGCAATATATTTCGATACGAGAACAATGTGTCACATTAAGCTATTGTTAGTCTTTTCAGATTCGGCTGATTGTGCCAAAGCGAAGGACCTCGGTCACAACTCGCCAAACGAGTCAGTATTCTTGCTCTTTGAGACAGCATACTTACGGGAAATGTAACCGTACACTGGTGTGCAAAACTTAGGGACGAACGTAGCTTTTCCAACGACGTGTTACTGGCGCGTAACATGACTCTATGGAACCTAACCACACATACAAAGAGCTGCCACAGGGCACTAAAGAAAGCAGTTAACAGGAACCGTTAAACGGTCCACAAAGCTAAGAAAAGGTTATGATACTTCATCTGTCTCGTCCTTAAGTTTTGCACACCAGTGTAATTTGACAAATCCTTAGCGGTTTCTGTACCTGAATTGATTAGCAGGCAAGGCCCGGTACAAAATGTGCTAGAGGAGCATTCAGTAGTGAAGCTGGAGGTGGGGAATGGTCTGGAAAAGAAAAAGAAAGCAAGAGAATCCGCCTCGAATAGAGACCTCATCTATTTCAGCTGCATTCCCCCTTGGGTAGAAGAAGGGGAGGATGGACGAGTTTCACGAGCTCAGCTCCAGTTGCTCTTGCGCCAACACCATTGAATCGCAATGAAGCCGCTGCACAACTGCGCCCGCGCTTTTCAAGCAGCGCCACGTGGCAACCGACAGCGGAAGGGTGGGGCTTGCGGACGAAGGTGTGGAGTTGCGGGTCGGCGAGCTTCCAGCGCCTTTGTCGCGCACTTTCAAGCCGCAAAAGGGGCGCGACATCAACGCTCTGCCTGCTACTACGCACGGGGATGGAACAGGTGAGCTTACCACCCGAACGTGGCTTGAAGTCAACATTGAGCTTCCACTTCATCCACGCTGATGATCAGTCCGAATCCCTATCACAGGACCTTTCCCGAAAGTTTTAGCTCAAACCCTTCGTCACGTGCAGGTGTCATAGATCATGGTGGAACAGTACGCAACTGAATGTAAATAAAATCATGGATGCGTATTTGGGAAAGAGGGAAAAGAGAGATAGGGGAAGGAAGGGGAAGTGGCCCCACCAGACGTCTACCATATATCAACACAAGTATGTTGACGTACCTGGTTCATGCCTCTCGCTTCATTGAAAACCTCGAAGGGAAGATCAAGCAGTTTGTCAAATCTACGCCAAGTGAGCGTACGAAATAGTAGTTTCCACTTGTCACCAAACCAACATCAGCCCAATATCCTAATTCCCATCTGGGAGGCTCTATAAGAGGTAACCAATGCTATACTTCTAGACTAAATAAGGATTATGGTGATTGAGATAGGTTGAGAAGGTCCATTAGTTGAAGTCCTGATCAAAACAAGGCAAGTGAGGACATTTTCCAAGTATAACATTTCGTTACAAACGCTCAATTCAATCATTGCTTTTAAAAAAGGCTTTTTTTTGCAGGAACGATTAAGGGTGACCGCTCCGATCAGACCGATGATCGCTTTTTCCGCCATTTTGCAGCAATCAGGAACACAAAGTTATGATGATTTGAAGCACATTCCACAATAGCCGAAATTTGGATCATGTCATACAAAAGTAAAGGTACAGGTTTGAGATGACCTGATAGTGAGGGTAAAAGTAGAAGAAGCCGTTGAATTGAAGCTCTTCGGATCCTAGGGAACGTATGTGCGAGAACACTATCAAAAAAAGCAGAACATTTTAAAGAATTTCCGTTTGTCGATACCACACCAAACGCCGAGTATCACCCGTTTTCCCATTCCTTTCTGCCATGTGGTCGCTGCTATGGGTTTCGAGCATGGGTACTTGTAATGGGAGGAGTCACTTGAGCATGGGTAATTTTTTCATCAGCACTTTTGTTTCTCTTCTGTAAGCCGTGAAATCGGCGCAAACCTACGGGTGCAGGGGCTGAATCATTCCATAGGGTGTTTTGATCTTTTTCAGCCTATTGTTGAATGTGCTGTTGCTTTTTGTTCAG